TTGAAACTTCTATTATAAAATTATTATTATATCGGTTACAAATATGAAAAATTATAAAAAAACAGAATCTACGTTCAGTAATTAAAAACTTGTTAAGTTAAGAATATATATATCGAAAATTTGCATTTCAGGTTAAAAAAAAATTAATTCATCAACTTTCTTTTGCGCAAAGATCTAATGTCTGATGACATTTGTTATATTAACCGGAGATTACAAAATATTAAATTTCTTAAATGTATATATAAAAGGCATACAAATAGATCATTGATCCTTTATAAAAAATATTTTCTCTGTACGAATACTTGTTGCACTCACTGTGACTATATGAATATAGCGTATGAACAGCGTTTCGATTTTGGCGCTACAAAGTCGTTCGTTTATAAATCTCAGAAGCCCTAAATCTCAGAGCTTGATAAAATAACTGATACAACTTATTTGAAATAAAAAATATAAAATAGGTTCCAAAAACTTATTTAAAATATTAAATAAAGAAATTATTTAAAATAATAGGGCCCCAAAATACATTTATTTATTTAAAATATAGAATAATTTGTTTAAAAATAACTTGTCTTTTATTTAAATAAGTTTTCGAAGGTTATTTTTTATTTAAAATAAAACTTCGAAAACTTATTTATATATTGTTATGATCCTGTATATATTATGTCTACGGTCTATTGTCTGTAATCTATCGCTACTTCACAAATATATTTTTTCTTCAGATATTTAATTCTTATCTCGCAAATTACATTGTATCACAACAAAAATGTAAGAGACTATTTTGAGTGAAAGAAGCTGAAGACAACGATCAAAAATTTGTCAAAAAGTAGTCTTCTTTAAGGCAATAAATTGAAGACGCCAGATGAAATTACTTGCATTTTATAAACTCTTGAGGTAAACAGAAAGAGTAAAGAGAATACAAAAAATATCCTTGATTCTGTAAAACATATATGCGCATGTACCAGCTTATTTTTATTTAACAATCAGTGAACAACATTAAAATATATTAAAATAGAAATATTTTTTCAATAAAACATTTTTTCAATAAAATATTTGCATTTGATAGAATACACTAAAATATATTGAAAACTCTACTTGTATTTCCTAATAGAAAGAAATAAAATCATATTTACCTCAATTCGACAATTGTTATATAGCCACTGTTTCTAGTTAAGCCATATAATTCAATTTCAAATATATGATTATTTATTGACTATCGACATATAATTAAAGGAGTTCTCGATATATTTTATAAATCGATAATTTTATCAATTGCAAATATTATTTTATTAAAAAATA